TGGCTGGGCGCTTTCGCTCCCGTGGACCTTCCGCTCTCCAGCCTCAGTTCTACTCCGCCAGCAGCAGCCTCCCTGTGCGGTTTCCCCACCCTCGGCTGCATAGAATCTGCCATTCACAAGTTTGCATCTCATGAGCACACTCTCACCCCATTCGGCCAGAGCCCTTCTCAGACCTTCCACTGACACCTCCGGCCAAGGCACAACATGGGTAAGAGGGTGCGGAAGTGCACTGAGACCTTGGCTGTGGGAAGAGCAGCACCATTGGTATGTCCCTGAACCTGCTTCGCATACGAGGGAGTGTGGAGAGGGGACAGTCTCTCACACAGGAGCCAGGATTACTGGGGCTGATACTCCCGATATTGGGGAGCAGGGAGCAATGAGGGACCTTGATCCAAACCCAACCTAGGTGCTCCAGAGCCCTCCCAGCTTCTGATACCCGAGAGGACAGGAATCCTTACCCAGCCAGCTCACAGCCTCGTAATTCTCCTGCATCACGTCCCAGAAGAGGGCCCTTTGGCCCGGGTCCAGCAGAGCCCATTCCTCCTCAGAGAAATACACAGCCACCTCCTCGAAGGTCACCGGCCCCGCCACGGCCATTTCCTGTCCCTGGCTCTGCAGGCCATGGGATGAGCTGGAGACAGACATGGGTGTTCTACAGCCTGTCGGGGGAGAAGGGCCATTGGAGACATTTCAGAAGGGGATTTAATCCTTCCCACGCCCCCGTTCTCCTCAGACGCTGTCCCCACAACCTCCAAAAGCACCCAGTATGTATAGCAGTGGCTCCATGCACTACTCCTCATCCACAACAGGCCCCAGCCTCCACTGGCCTCAGTTCTCAATTACGTCTGACTAACGAGCAATAAAGAGATTTGTGGCGTTTTCCAGACTCGGCCGCTTCGGTTGAGATATCCCACAGACAGCAACCAACTGTTAGATCCAAAGTCCATAGTTGTCTCTCTCAACACCTGGCCCAAGTTCAGCCTCACTGCATAGGCCAGGATGGGATTCGGTTCTGAGCGCCCAGTGGTTCTGACACAGAAGTCGCATGTTCCTCTGCCTGAAGATGGATGTAGGGCTGTGTCTAGACTGCATCCCTTTTCCATAAAAGGGATGCAAATTAGACACATCGCAATTGCAAATGAAGCGGGGATTTAAGAGGAATAAGGGATCTTTTGGAAAAGGGTTTATTTTCCGAAAGATCCACGTCTAGACTGGCGCTTTATTCCGGCAAAGCTCTGAGCCGGAAAAAAGCGGCAGTTATGTTTATGCAAATGAAGCGGGGGGGGAGGGGATTTAAATCCCTGCTTCATTTCCAATTGCGATGTGTCTAATTTGCATCCCTTTTACAGAAAAGGGATGCAGGCTAGACACAGCCCAGGTGTCTATGTTGAGGCTCCTGTACTGAAGAGTGCCAGTGTGGAGGCCAAAGTGCCAGGGAGGAGTTTAAAATTGAGTGCAGGAGGGGACTGTAGGTAAGGTTACCAGGTGGCTTAAAAAAGAATTACCAGACACATTTGATCTCAGATGGGAGAGGGGGGAAGCAGGACTAGCTGGGAGGACATGGAGGGGAAACCGGCTGGTGGGAAGCAGAGCTGACTGATGGGAAGGAGGGCTGGCCGGGAAGAGGTTGGGGGGGGGGGCAGGGGCAGAGAACCAGCCAGTGGGGACTGACCCAGGCGCACGCTGCCCATCCCACGCACGCACGGTCCCAGCGAAGAACAAGCGAGTCCAGCCCCGGGGACCCCTCCCCGGGGTAGTTGCGCCGTGAGCGTGTCTACCAGCCAGGCAGTGCGCAATGAGGTACTGATACTCCTAACACTAAAACTCCCCTCACTAGACCATACCCGACTCTGGATGCCTCCGGTAGTTTCTCAATTTGTGTCCTGGACAGAACCCACAAATATCGGACTGTCCGGCTCAAAACTAGACACCGGGCCACCCTACCTGTGAGGGTCACAGGCTGGGGAGGTGGGAGGGGGATCCTTAGACCCACTGAGCCACGACCCCTTGTTACCTCAAAACCGACCTGGGCTTCCCCCCCC